CTAAACATGGAATCCATCATCGTCACCACCATTCCAACAACAATAGAAACCAAGATCTCAATGCCAAGTGGAAATTATAAGTGGCCATAATGCTATCGACATGAATTACAGTGCATTTTCTATGGTTGATTATGAAGTTTTGACGATTAAGTTGGGTGGTTTCTTCGAGATATGTGATCCATAGATCGAGGCTGCTCTTATCTGCCAAATCTCTACGACTAATAGCAGTTTTGGTAGCCCCTATATGTGAGATCCATTGTGGCAATAAGGCCAAAAATGGTGGAGGGTGACATCGTAGTGATGTGCAAAGACGTCGTGAGCGTTGCTTGCTGCTTCGGAGTGATGGGGGCCCGCAGCTTCACAGCGGTGTTGGCTACTTCATAGCGATGCCGTTGTGGTGGTGGCATCTTGAGTGCCACAACGTGGTGCTGACATCGTGAGCGTCGTTGTTATCTGCTTTAGAGCGATGCCACTATGGCGTCTTGAGCGCCGTGACGTGGTGCCAATGATGTGAGTGTCATGGTGCTGATAGTATCTCCGGCGGTGATGTGTGGGAAAGAGGAGAGAATTGAGGGAGAGAGTGAGTGAAATTTGGTGGATGGATGGAATGGGATAGTTAAGAAAATTAATTAATTTTATAATGATATTATTAATATTAAAATTTTCAATTATCATTTGATTATTGAATAAAAAACGTTCTAAATTTTTAATTGGATAGATTAAAAAATCATAACTAGGTGTAATTTCCACTATAAATTTGAAACTAAAACAAATGTCGTATCTGATGCTACCAAAAATCGTACCTGTATATTTTCCTAGCTTGATGATTCTAATTGAGTACGATCGTAGTCTTCCGGTACCTGAAACAAAGGCAACGAGGTGTGTTCTCGTCGCCCCTCCGATGCTTAAGTCAGAAAAGGAATTATATGCGTGAGGCTATATACTGGAGAACAATGAAAAACGTACCTGAATAATGGCTTAAGGTTCTGTATTTATAATAGTAAGCGACATTCTCCTAGTGGGACTCAACTAGCTGGATGTCCTTATCTATTGGAGTCCTGAATAGTTAAGGAGTTGGTCACATTCCATAATTATATGTGGGATAGAATCCTTGTGGGAGTCAAGTATATGGTTGAGTTAGAGTCCTAATTGCGTAGGAATTCTAAATGGTCAACAATCGTAGGTTGTGAGGGGAACATATGCTTGAGGACAAGTATTGCAATATGCGAAGCAGCCAGGCGGGATGTGGTCGGGCATAATGTCTCGAGGCCACCATATGCCTGAGGACTCCATAGGTGGAGTTATAAGTTCATCAAAAATTAATCGTCGGGATAATGTAGTGATCGGGCTTCTGGAAATGTCAGTATCACTGGCCCCCGTGCACATATGCTCGAGGCCTTCGCTCGAGGATATGATGCAAATAGGCTGGAAACAAAAGCTGGGGCAATTAGCTCGAGGACGTTTTTGATGACAGGTGTTCAGAAGGGCTGACACGTACTGAGGTAAGCCCTAAATTGGAAAAGGCAGTAAAACATGGTAGGGGGTGGATGTAGGACACGTGGCTAGATCTGACGGTGGAGGTAGTGACCTTTGGACTACCCGCTCCTGTTGCCTATAAATACCCTCTCCACATTTCATTTTTCACTTTTTACTCTCAGTAAACCTCTCTTGCTAATCGTCGGGATCAGAACTTCGAGTTTTTAGGCGTCGACTTTAAGGTAAGACCTCGAGTTTTTAAGTTATTCTTTAGGCAATTTTTTACCTAGGTCAGGATGTCTAGCAGTAGTAGTAGTGAGTCTTCGTCCTCATCCTCGAGAAGTACTCCCGAGGACATAGGATGCTCGATCATACCTGTGGCTGTCCCAATAAACGCCCAACCTCGGGCACAAAGTATCCCGACCCAATTTAGGTACCCCGAGGTTCCTAGTAAATTTAAAGAGCATCTAGCAATATCGACGACTAGAGAGCATGGGCTCATGCCGAAATGTGATATTAGGACACCAGGGGTAGAGGATAGGATGGCCTTTGCTCGGATGGAGAGTTCGTGATTTTTAGGGACTCACTAAAAGGAGGATTTAGATGGCCCCTGCATCCCTTTTTGTGTCTTTATTGGTCGAGCATAACATGAGCCCTGGACAGCTTGTGCCAAATGGGTGGAGGATGCTCACCTATTTTTTTATAGCCTGTAGATACCTAGGAATTAACCCATACGTCGATCATTGTAGAATGGTCTTCGACCTAAAACAACTACCTCAATATACTTGTTTTGCCTACCTTTCATCCCGAGGAGGCTTTAGATTACTGAGGATGCCTAGTTCATTGAAAGGATGGAAAGAAAAGTGGTTTTATATCGTACCTTAGGATAGTGACCTTCCTTTTAGTCCTAGGTGGGTTCTGCCCGACACTCCCAGGTTTTGTGAAGGCCAGGCCTATTTTGAGTCTTTAGAAAGGCATAGGATGATGTTAGAGAACCTTAAGCCTCTTGTATATGATATAGATGACATCCTCGGGGATGATGTTCTCAATCTCGCAGATGTGAAAGGCACCGAGGGTTGGGATCATCTTTTTGCCTTTTTCCTTATTGATCTGTCTTTGAACAGTACGATTGTGCTCATGTCAATGACTTGTTTTTTTTTACAGAGATGACTTTTGATCCATCAGCCCTCAAACAGGCCGTGAACAAAAAGTCGAAGGCCCCTCAAGCTCGAGCTCCAGGTCAAAAGAGAGGGAAGAAGAGAGCTCGAGATTTAGGCCCTGAGAACATTAGGAGTGGGCCAGGTGAACCTTCTGCCCGGGGACAATCCCCGACCATACAGGCCAATGAAACTCCAACTGCCCCTCCTCGGTCACGTCCTCGGCCAAGAAGTACCCCGGAGGTTGTTGACCTCGAGGATGAGGTCCCACCTATGCCCTCGTTCCAAAATCAAGATCCTGACTGGTGTCCAGCATCGTGGACAAGTATCGAAAGGACCTCGGCTTTGATGAGGGTATGAAGGCTTTTGAATCTCTTACACTAAAGGTAAGCTCGCTCAACTTACTAGGTGTAATTTATGGATTTATATGATGTGATTGCTTAAGCTCGCGTTTATATGATGCAGGCTCTGAGCATTGCCCGAGGCCTTTCTCTGAAGGGGAAGGACGAGGTACAAAAAACTGCTGAGCTCGAGAACTCTTCTCGAGCACATGAGAAGAGGATAACTGATATGGAAATTGAGCGCTTCCTTCTCCAGAGGAAGCTCGAGGACTCGAAGAATGACGTTCAGAGAGCTCGGGAAGAGGCTGGAGCTGCCAAAGGCGAGGCTGAGGATTTAAAGCTCGAGATCGAGCGTTTGAAGATTGATTTTGAAACTCGCCTGGCTGAAGCTCGAGGCATTGCGATCGAGGAATTCAAAATGTCCGAGAAGTTCGACGGGCTTAAGGGAGAGTATGCCACGGGCTCGTACTTCCACGCTTTTAAAGAAGCTCAGGCATTTTGAGGTCGAAGCCTGACGCCAAACCCAAGGATTTAAAGAACATCCCTGAGGTTGCTAGTGACCTCGAGCTTTCAGATTTCGAGGAAACCGTTGAAGACCATGAGGTCGATATTGACTGCAAGGACGTGGCAGAAGAGCAGGGGAGCACGGCTTCGGGAGAAAGAGCCGAGGACCTCGATTAGTTCATGTTTTTCTCATGATGACATCTTCCTTCTTTTATATTTTGAACAAGTATTTTGCTCGATCTTAGATAATGTTCTTTTTGTCGTATTTTGCTCGATCAAGTATTTTTCATTTTGCACGATCAAGTATTTTTCATTTTACACGATCATATATGGCTGATGTCTCGATCATGACAAACTCAAATAGCTCAACGTTAAGATGATTCAATAACTTGATGTCTGGGATACATATTAAACAGGACGACGCCTAAGATGTATTAATATCTCGACGCCTAAAAATGACTTATTAGCTCGATGCCTAGATTAAATATCTCGATGCCTAGGGTGAATTGACAACTCGACGCCTAGATTAATTAAATATCTCGACACCTAGATGAAGTTTTAGCCTTGACGTACGTGAGCATGTATTAGTTATCTCGGGGACTGAATTTGAAAAATCATTTATGAACATTATGCGTTGAGCCCGAGCATGTATGCAAGTTATCTCGAGGACTCAATTTGAAAAATCCTTTATGAACATTTATGTGTTGAGCCCGAGCATATATGCAAGTTATCTCGAGGACTCAATTTGAAAATTCATTTATGAACATTATGTGTTGAGCCCGAGCATGTATGCAAGATGACGTAATTGTATCGACCTATAGCGTGATTCCCGAGGACAGTAACAGCTTTTTTATAAGATCTCTCACACCATTGATCGGGCACCTGTGATCGAGAATGTTACTCGACATGCTTGCACGGGACAAGGCTTTTGATTGGTTGCGCGAGGCAAGGATTTTTTATTGGTTGCGCGGGGCAAGGCTTTTTGTTTGCTTACGCGGGGCAAGGCTTTTTGATTGCTTGCAGGGGGCAATGCTTTTTTGATTGCTTGCACGGGGCAAGGCTTTTTCTTTGCTTGGGCGGGGCAAGGCTTTTTGATTGCTTGTGCGAAGCAAGGCTTTTTTGATTGCTTGCGCGGGGCAAGGCTTTTTGTAGTTAGATCATATTTTGACGAATAGCTTAATTCTAATTGTACTTTTTAAAAATAGACTTGGCACGCAGGCCTGACAACTAAAAACGTGATCCTTGGCACGCAGGCCTGACTACCGAAAAATGAAACTTGGCATGCAGGCCTGAGAATTGAAAAAGTGAACCTTGATGTGTAGGCCTGACTACCGATAACTGGAAGACCAAGTTACTTGTAATATATTTTTAAATTCTCGGCGTTCCATGGTCTTGGAAGCGGCCTTCCTGACGTATCCCTTAAACTGTATGTACCTCCTTGGAGTTGTCGTATGACTTCGAAGGGCCTTTCCCAAACTGGTCCTAGCTTGCCCGGGGCATGACCTGCTGCTTCGGCCCTTCTTTACACAAGGTCTCCGGCTCTAAATCTCTGCGTCCTCACTTTCTTATTGAAGTACTTTGCTGTTTTATCTTGGTAGGAGGCCATTTTTAAAGTTTCCTGATCATGAACTTCTTCCAAGAGGTCGAGGTGTTCAATGGTGCACCCTGGATCTTCGAGCTCGAGCCTCCTTTGGCTGGGCAACCTTACTTCAATAAGAATGGTGGCCTCAATACCAAAAGCCAACATGAAGGGGGTTTCCCCTGTAGCAGTTCTGTATGATGTTCTATACGTCCAAAGTATGGAAGTCAACTCGTCAGACTAGGAACCTCTTGCATCACCGATCCTTGTATGGAGGTCTTGCAATATAATCCGATTGTTCACTTTGGCAAGACCATTACTTTGAGGATGGGAAACTGACGTCAAACGGTGATCAACCCCTAGGTTGGTACAAAAGTTATTAAATTGTGCATTGTCAAACTGCCTGCCATTATCACTTATGAGGACTTGCGAAATCCCGAACCTGCATATGATGGATCTCCATATGAAACTTCTTAACTTCGGCTCTGAAATTGTTGCTAAAGGCTCGGCCTCTACCCACTTAGTGAAATACTCTACAGCCACAGCCACAGCCACAAACTTCAATTGTCCCCTACTTATTGGAAAGGGACCAAAGATGTCAATTCCCCACTGCTCAAATGGGGCTGTGCAACTAATGCTAGTGAGGTCTTCTGCAGGAGGGTAGATGACATTGCCAAATCTTTGGCACTTGTCGCACTTCTTGACATATTCCTGGGCGTCTTTCTTCATGGTTGGCCAATAATATCCATACCTTATGAGCTTGAAGGCTAATGCTCGAGCTCCTTGATGGTTCCCACATACTCCTTCATGAACTTCTTCTAGGGCCTGGGATGATTCGGAAGGCCTATGGCATCTGAGGTATGGAAGTGTGAGGCTCCTGCGAAATAAAACACCTTCAATCAAGCAATACCTCGGAGCTTTGGATTGGATGATTCTCTCTACCCGATGATCTTCTGGAAGGCGGCCATGTTTTATGAAGTCCACTATTGGGTCCATCCATGATGGCATATTATCAATATCCACGATGCCTATGGTCTGACTGATGCTTGGCTCGGTTATAATTCTGACGTGGACTGTCCTGTCAAGCCCATCTATTTCCATGAACACCAATCTTGACAAAGCATCGGCCCTACAATTCTTAGCCCGAGAAATTTTTACAATTTCACAACTCTTGAACTTTCTCTGGAGATCGTGCACTTTCAAGCAGTATAAGCTCATCTTCTCATCCTTTCTATCGAACGTCCCTTCGATTTGTTCAACCACCAACTGAGAATCACTATAAATTTTGACATTTTCAAGCTCGAGATTTATGGCGAGTTCCATGGCTATGATGATGGCGTCATACTCTGCTTCATTATTGGTTGCCTCAAATTCGAACCTTAGTGCACACTGAATGTTTATGAGCATGTCCGGGCTTATGATTATGACTCTTGCGCTCGAGCTCGAGGAGTTTGATGTTCCATCTATGAAAATTTCCCACATAGATATGCTCGAGCTACTATTTGGCCCCTGAAACCTTGGGGTGAGTTCTGTAATGAAGTCAGTTAAGGCCTAAGCTTTGATAGATGGACGAGGCTTGAACACTATGTCAAATTCTCCAAGTTCAATTGCCTACCTCAGTAATCTTCCCGAGACGTCTGGTTTCTGAAGAATGTGTTTTAGAGGCTGATTGGTGAGCACAACAATAGGATGTGATTGAAAATATTGTCGAAGTTTTCGTGCTGTTACTATCAGTGCAAGGGTAAGTTGTTCTGCCAAAGTGTATCTTGTTTCTGCATCAAGTAGGACTTTGCTTACGTAATAAATGGGTTGCTGGCCCCTGTTAACCTCTTTCACCAAGACACCACTCACTGCATTCTGAGATACGGCTAAGTACAAATACAGAGTTTCTCCGGGCTCAGGTTTGGTAAGGATTGGGGGAGATTCCAATGTCTGCTTGAGCTCCTAAAAAGCTTTCTCACACTCCTCATTCCATTCAAAGCAATGATTACCCCTGAGGGCTTTGAAGAAGGGGAAGCACCTGTCTGCTGCTCGGGACATGAACCTGTTTAAGGCGGCTACCCTGCCTGTCAACTTTTGAACCTCTTTCTTGGTCCTTGGTGATTCCATTGCTGCCAGAGCCTGAATTTTGTTGGGGTTAGCCTCAATGCCCCGATGAGTGATCATGAAACCCAGAAACCTTCCTGAAGCTATGCCAAATACACACTTCTCTGGGTTGAGCTTCATTTTATATTTTCGTAGGGTGGTGAACACCTCCTCAAGGTCGGATATATGCTCCTCCACCTTCTTACTTTTTACAACCATGTCATCCACATAGGCCTCGATGTTCTTCTCTATCAAATCGGCAAAGACTTTGTTGATGAGCCTCTGATACCCCAGCGTTTTTCAACCCAAATGGCATCGCCCTATAACAATATATGGCTGAATCAGCCATGAATGAAGTCTTTTCTTGGTCTTCTTTAGCCATGAGGATTTGATGATACCCTGAGAATGCATCTAAGAAGCTGTATAGCTTATGTCCGGATGTGCTACCCACAAGATTATCGATCCTAGGTAGCGAGAAGCTGTCCTTCGGGCATGCCTTATTCAGATCTGTGAAGTCAATGTAGACCCTCCACTTACCGCTGGGCTTTTTCACCAGAACAACATTAGCGAGCCATTCGGGGTATTGGACTTCCCTTATGAACCCTGCTTCCAACAATTTGCCGACTTCTTCCTGAATGACCACACATCTTTCCGGCGTAAACTGCCTCTTCCTTTGCTTAACAGGTTTGGCCCCTGGGATGATATTAAGTTTATGGACAGCTACTTCTGGGTCTATCCCTGGCATATCCCCCACCTTCCATGCAAAAACATCAATGTTGCGGGACAGACAACTGATGACCTCCTCCCGAAGGTTGGCCTTCAGATCCCGACCAATAGTAACGGCTTTTTCGTGCTCGAGCTCGACCACTTCCAATTCCTCAATGGGGGCCAATCTATCCCTTGGCTTGAGCTCGAGCTCGAGCTCGAGCTCGAGGTCTACGAGTTGCATGACGTCAGCATTCATGCCTCGGATGCTTGTAACATAGCACTGTCTAGCCGCCATTTGGTCTCCTCGAACTACTCCGATGCCATGACCTATGGAGAACTTCATGGCGAGGTGGAAAGTTAACACAATAGCCTGAATCTTGTTCAGTAGGGGTCTTCCCAGAATGATGTTGTAGGCCATTGGGGTGTTAACCACTTGGAATGGTGTGATCTCTGTCACTTGTGGACTACCAGTTCCTAATGTAAGTGGGAGCTCGATGATGCCTTCAGGGATAATGATTCCACCACCAAATCCTTGTAGGGGGTTTTTACTGCTTTGAGCTGTTTAGGAGAGATTCCCATTTTGGTGAAAGCCTCCTGTGAGAGTATGTTCGTGGCACTCCCATTATCAACCAGAATCCTCCTTACTTCGAAGTTAGCCACAACTGTAGAAACGACCAATGCATCGTCATGAGGATATGATATCCCTTCCAAATCTCTTGCACCAAAAGTGATGTCTCTAACTTCATCACTCGATTCTCTTGGCGTATGAGCGTGTTGGTGGGCATACTGTTTTCGCCCACTACTTGTGTCTCCGTCGGACGCTATATCCCCGACGATAATATTAATGGTTCCGGCAGTGGGTTGAGCACTGCTTCCAGCCCCAGGCTCTTTCCGATTGTTACGGTCATTCCTTGGCCGTTTATCATGACCAATGTAATTCTTTAAAAATCCTCTTTTGATAAGGGCTTCAATTTCTCGGTGTAAAGCATGACAATCCTCTGTAGTATGCCCATGATCCCGATAAAATTCGCAATACTTGCTTCTATCTCTTGTGTCAGGGGGTGACTTCATCCTTGAAGGCCACTTTAATTCTTTCATATCCTTAACCTCCATCAAAATGTTTGCCTTAGAGGTGTTTAATCGAGTGAGAGGTGCTGATGGAGCCTCGTTCCTGTGCTTATCCCGGGGAAACTTATGTCAGGGGACGGGATCATGTTGCCTTTTGTTTTCGGTCTTTTCATGGGAAGGACCAGGTCTCCTTGGTTAGTGTTTTCTCCATATTAATGTATTTTTCAGCTCGAGTGAGGAGCTTGGTCACTGTCTGCGGCGGGGTCTTTGATAAAGATATCTTGAAAGTTTCACATCTTACGGCGTAAGTGAGGACAGAGACAGCTGCTGTGATGTGGAGGTCAGGTATTTGAAGCCTTTCCTTGTTGAACCTTGTCATAAATCCTCACAGGGTTTCGGTTGGTCCCTAGCAAAGTTGCATGAGAGAGGTCGCGGTCTTCCTGATTCGCTTGCTACTTGTAAAGAAGGCTGAGAAATTATCAGTCAAATCTGAGAATGAGGCTATGGAGTTGGGCTCCAATGTCGAGAACCAATCCCTAGCAGCATTAGTTAGCGTTTGTGGAAAGGCTTTGCACATAACTTGATCCGGCGCAACTTGCAAGTTTATGACATCAGTGTATACATTGAGATGGTTGATGGGATCAGTCGTCCCATCATACTCTTTAATGCGAAGATATTTGAATCTGTCGAGCAAGGGATATGTTAATATCTTTGGCGTGAATGGAGTGTTAGGGGTAAAGCCTGTTGGCCCCCGAGCATTACGTTGCAGGCCAGCTGTAATTTCTTCTTGAATGATCCGGGCAATTTCACTGGAATCCATGGCGATCGATCTCGAGCCCGAGGCCATATTATGAATACCCGAGGTTCCAACTCTGCCATTTGCTCGGTCTGGTGGTCGTGCTCGAGCATCGGCCATAAAACCGCCATGCTCCACATACGCTGGCGACGGATGCAAATTTCTTCGACTTAATAGTTGCGTGAGCATGGCCACCTGCTGACGCAACTCTTCAAAGGCTTCGATTGTAATGATTGCTGGTAGAGGTGTGGGGACTCCAGAGGATTCCTCATGAGGAACCGGTTGATCTTCGGCAGGATGAGGGATGGGAACAGATGAGCTTGCAGGAGGAAGACCTGATCACGTGTTAACCATGGCTTTTGGTAGTGTTTCCCATAGAGGGCGCCAATGATGTTACCAAAAATCGTACCTATATATTTCCCGAGCTTGATGATTTTGATTGAGCACGATTGCGGTCTTTCGGTACCTGAAACAAAGGCAACGAGGTGTGTTCTCGTCGCCCTTCTGATGCTTAAATCAGAAAGGGAATTATATGCGTGAGGTTATATGCTGGAGAACAATGAAAAATGTACCTGAATAATGGCTTAAGGTTCTGTATTTATAATAGTAAGCGACATTCTCCTAGTGGGACTCAACTAGCTGAATGTCCTTATCTGTTGGAGTCCTGAATAGTTAAGGAGTTGGTCACATTCCATAATTATATGTGGGATAGAATCCTTGCGGGAGTCAAGTATATGGTTAAGTTAGAGTCCTAATTGCGTAGGAATTCTAAAGGGTCAACAATCGTAGGTTGTGAGGGGAGCATATGCTCGAGGACAAGTATTGCAATATGCGAAGCAGCCAGGAGGGATGTGGTCGGGCATAATGTCTCGAGGCCACCATATGCCCGAGGACTCCATAGGTGGAGTTATAAGTTCATCAAAAATTAGTCGTCGGGATAATGTAGTGATCGGGCTGTTGGAAATGTCAGTATCAGTATCATTTATATGTCTGACGGATTTTCCATTATTAAGAACTTCCAAACAAGGCGAATGAATCATCGGATGGCAAGAGACTAGTGCCTCTAGACGAACAAAGCATGAAATCCCTCTGGACCTGGTGCCTTATTTCATCCCATCTGCTGCAATGTCACCTCAATTTCACACATAGAAAGGGGACAATGATCCAAACCTTTTCCTTTGGAGACGTGACAACCAAAATCCTACACACCCCGGCCACCAACTCCTCCTCACTAGGCTCATAGCAGGAGAATTTTCAAGCAATGGGACAACATACTCGTCATCCTCAGGCCAAACGCCAACCTAATTTTAGATTCTAAATAAATCGTTTTTCATCTTCATGGTAGATGCCTTCGCAGAATTTAGAGTTATGGTCCACTGCTTTGAGCCATTCGGCTCATGACCGTAATCGCCGATACATTTTTTCCAGCTGAAGCAAAGCATCAATGCCAGGTTCGAACCCTTGATTAGAATCCATGGATTGTCCACACTGCAGATAAACATACAGGTCAGTCAAACGATGTTTTTTCCGAAGCTATCCAGTTCGTTTACCATACTTGGCCCTATTCCAGCAGCAGCCCAATGCTGATTGACACTGAAAGAGCTCATACTGGATACCTGAAAATGGATTTCTGTCATCACCCACAATAGCAGCTTGACCCCATGAACCCTCTACCACCTCAGCATAGTTATCCTCTGCAATGCACAGGTTTCGAATTTAAAAGGCCTAGCTGTCTGATTCACCATTTTCTGTGTAACTGGCCTCACAAGCAGGAGAAGGATAGAGCAACAATCAGATTTTGAAAACTCCAGAAGTATAATCAGGA